TTTTTCCTTTGTAATTTGAAAGCTGCTTGATGTTTTTTCTAATAAAAAACAATTCACTTTTTTCTGTTTTCTTTCGTTCTTTGTCATTTTTCCAACTATTTTGTCATTGCTACGACTCAGTGTTAATATTTTCGACAGTCTGCTGAGTTTTCTACTTTGGTTCAGCGTTTGGTCAAACAGTTTTCAAACTAATGTTGCTATATAGAAGAAATATCAAAGCAAACTTGAATGAAAAATAAGCATTAAAAAAACAAAGCAGATTTACAAATTTTCCTGTCTTTAGATGTTTAATTGTACATATCTTCGATGAAATGATCAGCTTAAGGGACTGATTTTTGTCTGATTCACGTTAGCTTCATTTTCGACCTAGTTTGCCAAACAGTCCTTGTTCGTCTGCCATTTGCTCAATCGAATTCAGAAATTCAGTCACATCTTTTTTCTCTTCAGCTGTGAATGGTCCCAACTCATTTTTATCTTTTCCGCCCTTGTAAAGAAAAGATGTAGAGCGTTTTTCGTCGCCTTTTGATGTCCGAATTTCAGCCCGAACGCTATCGTCTTGAACAGTTTCGTCGTCGTTTATTTTCGGCCGGTTGATCACGAACTCGGCGGCGTTATCATCATGATCCAAATCGACGTTGTCGTAATATCTCTGAATCAGATGCGAAGGTTTTTTCTTTGAAGGTTCGCCGCTATCGTTCTTGTGATGAGTCACGTCAGCATCGGGACTCGGTGATGGTTTATGCTCATCAGTTTTTGCTGCTCCATTTTCCTGAGGAGTGTCATCGGCTTTGGGCTCTTTAGGGTGCTCTTCATCTTTCTTTTCGTACTTTTCCTCCTTGGATTTGCTGCCGACACAACCCATGTTTCTAATCGATTATAAATAGCAAGAGTAAGAAATAGCCCGACAGTATTTAAAATATAATTTTTCTTGCCCTTGTGTTCGTCTCGTCCAGGATTAAGCTAGGGATATTTAGGCAATATAAATTTAAGTTTTATATCAGGCTATGGAACCAAATTATACCAATATTATAAGTGAAACTGATGGTTTCACGTTCCACGATTATGAATGGTAAGCACTAAAACAGTGGTTGATAAAATCCAAATTGAATTTAAGCCTTCTTAATTTAAACTTGCGAATTCGCGGTGTACAGTAAGTAAGTATGATATAAATGTTTGGACTAAATTCGACCCGTATTCTATACAAGAATATCCAAATTGTGTGACTAGCCTAAATCAATTTCAATTTGAGTTGAGATAAAGAAATAGCGAATAGAACAAAGTGTATTTATTTATTCCCTGCGGTGGTAAAGCTGTATTGTGTTTAGACAGAAGTAGAAAAATCTATTGTGTTTCTAATATGTTGTGCTGGAAATAAAAACAGGCCATAGCTTGAATTATTTGCAAATTTTGCTTTTTATTAAAATATAGTAGTTGTGATGGATTACGTTTCTTTTTGATGTCATTGCCTTGTAACTTTTGTAATGTTGATCTATTATTTTTTCCGTTTTATTAAATTTTCTAAGCGTCAATTCTAAATTTTTAAGCTTGCCGAGATCTTTTTTTAAAAAACAAATGTGGATCAAAGTTAAGTATATTACAGCTTGCAGCCAAGTTGATTAAATGGTCTTCAATGACCATCGAGTTTTAATTTTATTTTTTGGGAATGCCAAGTTCATGCCAGTTGATTTTAATAACTTAATTTAAAAAGAATGAGTTGAATATACTGAACGTGGTTGTGTTGGTCAGAAAAATATCGGTGCTTTCTAGTTTTTCTAATTTGGTGCTTCTTAATTCAACAATGTTTTTTTTTTCAATCCTGATACAAACTAAATATAAATCCCATAGAAAAGACAGGTATAAATGCGTTTCTAGATTTAAAAGAACTGATGGAAGTGCTTTTTTTAATATGGCCAGCAGGCACGTAAATATCGATGTATGATGTACGGACACTTCAAGAAAGAACAGCGGCATATGTCACGTCACAATCAGTAACGTAAATTGAAAGTTGAGTCCGAATAGAAAAACTCCGCGACCGAGATCACTTTTGGATCTAGTTAACAATCCCCCCCCCCTATGGTATTTACTTAAGAATCTGCATCCCTTTAAATAAATGTCGTAAATTAACACTTGAGAATTCTAATTTTGTTGCATTCTGATTGGTCGAAAGCTCGTCTTGGTCGAAACTTAATTCGAAACTTGGTCGAAACTTAATCTACTCACAAATCTCCCCCCCCCTTTCTGAAAGGGGGGATTGTTAAGCAGATCCTCACTTTTGAATATCGGAATGCGAATCACGGCTTTGAGGGTCTTAACTACGATACCACATTTGGCCCTAAAAGATGTCTTTGAGGTGCTTAAAAGTGAAACAGTGTTCCGTTAATATACATCCATCTATATCAAACTGGTCCTACCTAACATACTCGAGGGCGTACAGTACATATCACGGTTTTCTAGACAAATTTGAATATCATCCAAAATTAAAGTACAAGTCAGCGTTATACAACTTGGAGAGGACAAACAAAGGTCAATCATTTGTACAAACAGGCTTCCCTGGCATAAATAAACAAACATAAATGTTTCTCAACTGACCGCTTTAGATTATTGTAAGTGGATGGTCAATTTATTCTGTTGTATAGATTGCTTTTAACTAGCCTGTTAATAGTAATGAACGTTGTGGGTACTCTTATATAGGTCTTTTAGCTAATTTTTTCGTTTTTTTTTTCAGGAGCGTAAAACTTGTTTACGCTCAATTTTCATTTTTCGCGGTTTGACTTTGGTTTCTTTTTAAGTTCAGTGCATTTCTATTGTTAAAAAAGTAAAGGTCACGCAGAATGCATGTACTTCACGCAAAGTATAAACAAATGTTGCAAAATAAAAGTAGAAATGTTCCTTCGGTAATTGCAAATAACGCTTACTAATCGCAAGCTTAAAATTTGACCAACAAATTTTTTGGCGAAAACAAAGAATTTTTCTATTCGTTTCTAGGACGAAAATATATAATTCATTACGAAGGCGAAGCAAGCGAACAGAAAAAAAAATCGATTTTGAGAAAAACCCGTCTATTTGATTAAAGCATTTAAAGCCGGCGTTAAATAAGTCTTCAGAATCCTTTACCACATGATTTCGACAGAGTTTGGTTAAATTCCATTTGAGCCGAAAACATTATTGTGCACCTCTCACTTCCAGAACCAAAAATGTAAAAATCTATCCTACCTTTCAAACCGCGGAAAATTATGACACAAGCCGATGAAACAAGGTAAAACGAAGAAGGCAAAGAAAGAAAAATGCTTCCAGTGCAAAAAAAAATCTGTATAAATTTGCAAGTTACAGGAGTTAATTAAAAAGTTTTTCGATAACTCTGAAAAATCCTTCCAGCGCAAAACAACGCAATCCATGAAACATAAGCTTACAAACAATTGACAGGCAATTTTTTGAAACGGACTTATTCCCGTTTGAAAAACCGATTCTGGTGTAGGCTTCAACTCTAAACCAAGTGTGACCGAAAAGTTGTAAACACAAATAAAAGCCTAAAATCCGAATTGATGGCGCTTGCTAATCGCAAACGTAAAAAGTTTCTTGACAATATGGCTCGATATTAATTCTTTTACACCCCTCAACGCATTTTGCAGCAAATTTTCGAATTTTTGATGTAAAAGAATGAGTTTCAAAAAGTTGGCGACAAATCTTTTGCTGTCAGATTTTGTCATTAGCTTTCCAAACTGTTGCAGCTTGCTTTACACTTATGAAAAAAAGTTTTTGAAAAGTATTTACGCTTGAGATTAGCATGCATTTTAAATTCAAAACAGTTTTTTTTCTGTTTAATTTTTTGTCAAACAGAATCATTATGTACGCTTCCGGTTTTTTTATTCATTTTGTTAATTCTTTCATCTCGTCAACTAACAGACGTATTTTGAGTTTGTTTGCATGTAGAATATCCCTTATATTTGTAAAAGTAGCAGCTTCGAGTTGTCTAATTCAAGTTTTTTATATGCAGTGAAGGTTTAGTCGGCTAAAATAAATTTCAAGGTAATGGGATTTACCGAGCCTGAAGTTTCAGCAAAACGGGAAATCCGTTTTTCAGTTTTTACACTTTTTTCCCGGAAGCAACTTTTCTAACAAATTTGTAAGAAATTGAACTTGTTTTTTTTAGTGAACCTTTAAAACTTCCAGTCGCTTTCTTTGGTCTGGTAGTAATGCAGTTGGAGGCATTCTAAGGAGTTCTAGTCACGGCTGGGTCTAGTTTTTTTTTTCAGTTAATGTGAGTGGATTTTTTTGTGTTTGTGTTACTGACTGTTTTTCTGAATTTGAGTTTTCATTTATTCAAACAGTTTTTTTTCAAAAATTTGTTGTGGACTCATTGTATATCTCTTTATTCGCAGCCAGGTACCGATATGCTTTCGCTGTATCGCAATTGCTGCCAAATTTCGCTTCGCCTCTAAGTTGGAAAATTTTTGCTGACTGCTAGAAATTAATCAAATTGAAATATCAATTTTAGGTTGTCCATAAATCACTTGCTATGTTCCTCTAATTCTTTAGCAATTAGATGGCCTCGTTAAATTTTTAATGTTGTACATTTTTACATCTTTTATTAGTTATTGTGAACATTACTTCTCTTTAAATTTTTTTCTTTATTTAATCGAATGGTTAAAATTTGGAAATGAAAATTGCTTATTGTTTTTGGCTTTATTTAACTTTCTGCTTCTATTTTTAACTATTTTTTTCTTTGTTTTTTTACTCCAATTCGCCTCTGTGCTAGAAAATCTTTTAAAGGTTTATGTCCAGATTTTGAACCGAAGTTAGAGTGTATCGGGATACAAAACAAACAATTTTCATTGCAATCCCAACTAAATGTTTCCTTGAAAAACAAGGATCACATTGAACTCCCTTCAGACATCGGGAACCAAATTTAAAATTTTCAAAATAAGTCAGATTTCGAAAGTTTTTCAATTTTGTGCATTCACTTTTTTCTATTCTGGCAGTTCCATTAATATTTTCAAGGTTTGCGATGTCGGGTACCCCTAGTGTGCCTGCGTCTCCAGATCTTACTTCAAGGGAGGGCAGCTTAGAAGAGACAAACTCGCAAGATAATCATCTGTTAGAACCCGAACACAGAGACTCCCAAACAAGACTCTCGCAGCCCGAAATGAGCAACGGGGATACTGCTACTAATTATTTGAACGGTCATGTAAATGGCTTGAGCACGAATGTAAACCAAAACTATTTTCTACAATCTCCGCCGAGTAATTATTGTCAAAATGGACCATCAGCTAATAGGTTATCTTCAGCACAGTGTAGTAATGCAACAGGAACCTCAAATTTGCTTTCGCAGTGCCAAACAGCCGAAGGTTGCCTTAGCACAACAGCTAGTTGTCAGCTTAACTTTTGTGCACATTGTTCTAAACTATCACCCAATCATATCGCTCTGTCAGCTCCCAGTAATCTGATTGGTCAACAGAGCTCACAACATTCGCATCAAAACCCAGGCAGTCATCATGATTTGAATAACTCAGGTTATAGCAGCAGCGGTATGATAAATAGCTTTGCAGGTGGATCCAATTTTCAAGTGCCCGGAGGACTCAATGCCCAATGTTCCAAACATGGTACTACTGGTCACGTGATGAATGGTATGAACGGAGACGTGGCTAATGGTGGAGGTGTGGGGCAGTGCAGCTGTGATTGGGTGGATTTGAACGTGGGAGGCAAGTTGTTCAAAACTACAAAAATGACACTGTCCAAGGTGCCTGGATCCTTTTTGGACTGTCTCTGCAACAATCAGAACCTCATCTCTAGTCATCTAGATCAAAATGGTATGTTTTCAGTTTTTTTAAATGGATCCTGGCCTTTCTCGCTTCTAGTCATAAGCAAAAAATAAAAGAAGCTAACAGACACCCGGCTTGTTGGATTGTGCGATATTTTGAGCCATATTGTTCCAACCACTTACGAAGTTGGAGAGAACTAGTTTTCATTTTTTTCATGCAATTTCGATTCCTATTGTAAAGACCTTGCATTCGTGGTTGGCTTCCTAAATAAGACTTTCGAAAGCTCTGTCTAAAACAGCCTGCTTTTTTACAGTATTTATGCTCGAAGCATTATGTGCTCTTGCGCAAGAGCCTTTTCCTCGTGTTAAAACAGCATCTATAGAAACTATTTGTTTCGTGCATCTTTCTGTTGGATCATTTAAATGTTTGAAAATTTGGCCATTTTTGTGGAAACTGTTTGACTTTACCGGGGAAAAAACCCTGCCAAAATTTAGGTTAACAGTTCAATTGAAAGAACATGGTGCAAAGTTTTTCCCTGCATAAATTGTTACTTATGGCCGTAGGAAAATTTTCTTGAAAACTATCCCGCCAATTTTGGTATTGAGTTCATTTGAAAGAGCTGGTATCTGGCATCTCCCATACATAAGCGGCTAATCCCTTCCCTTACTTTAGCAGAGAAACAACTAAGGTTTTGGATGAAGTCCAATTATTGAAATTTTGAAAATTAAGCATTTCATTTCGCATCAGTACAATGTATTGTAAAAACATCGAACAGGCAGTTTATAAGGAAAATAATTAGTTTTATTGTTTGATCATTCAGGTGCGATTCTGATAGACCGTGAGCCGGAGTACTGGGGTCCAGTATTGAACTGGCTGCGGTGTGACAAGTTGATTGTTGCGGACAGTGTGCCACTGGAGGGGGTGTTGGAGGAGGCCAGCTTCTGTGGACTGACACCTCTAGTGGCCTTACTCAAAGACAGAATACGATTCAGAGACAATAATAGTAAGACTACAGAAAATAATTTAAAGCATCAATCCAAGTGTGTAAAATTAGTGTGTGGAAACGGAGAACCATAACATTTCAACTCAAATTAAACAAGAAAGGACGCGCTGTTGTAGATAAAGAAAGTACAAGTAATCTTTTGCTACACTTGGAGCGTAAGTGTATTAGTACGAGCCTCCTTATTTTCTTAATCTATTTCGCAAATAAATAAAGTCCATTAAAAATGTTAACTTAGTTGGTGGCATTTTTGCTATAATCACGATCTGAAGCATTGGTAATTTCATAGCATCTATTCTCTGCTTTATTTGTGGCTAATATTTGTGATTTATTAAGCGTCCGTGGCTGAGTGGTTAGCTTGTGAAAGTCTTAATCTCTAGCTCGCAGATCGAATCCAAGACAGCCGAATTTTTACTAATTTGTGGCTTTTTTCTACTTTTTCTTATTACACTTTATACAGCTGCTTTTTTTCGTGCTCTCGCTAGTGCTTACGATGCGACGCCCCACACCTCTGTTACACTTGCAAGAGCAAGTGTCTTGTAATCGGGAACTAGACTTTTTCCCGTAAACAGTTTTTTTACCGGTAAGACGGTAAGCACTTGTAAAGTTGTTTTATTAGTTAACATTTGCAACTTCGAGATTCCTTGCCACTTGCGCCACCGGTAACGAGGTTGCCCTTATATCCTATGGTCTGGGGTTCGAGTACCGGCCGTACCTTGTTTTTTTCAATGTATATGAAATTGGATTTTTTTTTCAGGGAAAAATTGAATTGTCGGACTTTCGTTTGTCTGCTTCTGTTTTTTTGGCTTAGTTGCCCAACTGGTTTTTTTGGTGCTGTAAGTAATGTTCATCGCAGATGCAAGTATTTTGATTTGCTCCTGTAATTTGTAAAATTATAGTGCTGACGTATATTTTCATTGGTTTTCCTTAGTTTTTTTTGCTCAAATGCTTTATTAGACTTTTATGGGTTCGGCTTATGTTTTGTGGACTTAGTAACCGTAATATGTGCTGCTTCAAAGGCAAAAATTATTGTTTTTTGTTTGAAAATTTCTGGTAGTTTTTGTTGCAAGACCTAACAAGCTTTTAGAACTTTTTGTCGATTTAGTAGTCGCTGGTTTTTAGTACTGGTGGCTGTTTTTCTGCTTCTGAAATATTTTGTTTTTTAGTTTTTTTCTCGATTTTGTAATTTTCGTCTCATTTTCTCTTCGTTGGCTTTCAATGATGCGTGTGTCATGTATTGCCAATCATGCGATTCTGTGCTTCGGCTCTGTAATACTTACAAAATAAAATTAGTGCGACTAATTGTTCCTTTACAAATTGGCACTTGAATTTGATATTGGCATCACGAAGTTTAAAGTGTACCCAATTTGTATTCAACCAAAACAACTCTAAACCATTTCAGGAGCTGTCAGAACTAACAGGGCTTTGCCCTGATATATGAGTTGTCATGTTTAATTTTCAAGCCCCACCCGCCATATTTGCTCCAATGCCATTTGGCATGGTTTGTCGCTGACGCTAAATTGGCAAAATATTCGCGCGTTTTTTTTATCCCAATACAACGTGATCGATTTCTTTTTTCGAATGTAGAATTTAACCAGTGGAATGAAAACCTTTCCTAATAATCCAGTTTTCTCAAATTGTTTTGAATTTATCAAAAAAGTGACTATTTTAAATTGCTTTTGAAATTCAAAGAGCTTTAAAAAAACAATGTTTTTCTGTTTCTTTGCGTTCATTGACCCTTTTCCAACATGAAGGAGAAATGGATATCCCTAGCATAGCTTCCCTGAAATGATTACCTGATAGCATTCAATTAATGGATTACAACAAGTCTAATGAAATATGTCTTACACTTATTCACACTTATTCTTGATTGGTACGAATGAAATAATCTCTAAATGTATGAGCGACATTTTTAAAATCTATTTCTTGACATCAATCCACAATTTTAAGATAGTTGGTTGTTTTCAATCGTATGATATACTGATTAAGCTTTTCTGTTTCTTGATCACAATTAAGCCTAACTGTTGTGGTAAACTTATTTATTAGTTTAAGAGAAGAATCATGGATGCTAATTAAAACTTGTTAACAACACAATTGTGCGTAGATCAGATTTTCCTGGTCTGCGGTTTCACCACCAAACAGCATTTTTGACGTCGAAGACACCATTAGCCCATGTGCTGGGAAAGATGAACAAGATTTTCAAGTAGAATGCGGTTTGTCAAGCAAAGTTCAAGAGACAATAAGCAAGTCGCATGAACTTATGATTCCAAACCTACTGAAGAAAATGAAGAATAAACTTCAGAGAATTGAGCGTTGCGATTAAAATGGCCATTTAAATCCTGAAAAGCGAGATATTAGCCGCTGTCAAAGTTTCTGCGCAATTATTCGCATAACCTGAAAATGCTTTCAGAGTGCGAAAAGCTGGAGAATTATAATCTTCAAGACGATCTCCCCATCATTGGGGTTGTCGAATACCTGATGGTGAAAAAACTGCAGATGAAGAAGCAACTATGGCAAAAGCTTTTGATCTCCCTAGTGAAATCGGTGTATTAATAAGCGACATCCATCATATTCCCCCAAAGGGATGCCGATTATTGTTCACTTTTCGTGGAGAATTGTGAAACTCAATCTTATGCGCAAGAAACTGGTTACTGACAGAATTTGAGTAAAAGTCTTATTTTCTCCGGCTAAAGAAAAACGATGAGGGTATCAAATCGGTGTGGACCAGAAAGGGCTGTATTCATTTAATATGGAAAGCCGACGAAATGTGTAAATGAACTATACGATGGTGATGAATTTCCGAACTACAGCGCTTGTGTTTTGAATTGTTTAGGTGAAAATGTTTTCGGGAGTCAGATAGATCCGGATTCTCGTGAACCGTGCCCTGCACTAAATGAAAATTGTAGTAAATCCGTTATTAAGATGTTCGCTCACTCAAAAGGAACCACGAGGATTTGAAGACTTAGTATATTATCTGATCAATTCACCTGATAAATTATGCGTCTCAGAGACATTGCTCACTAAAGATGACAAGAAGGACATGTTTGTTATCAAAGCTTTTCTCTCAGTTTGCATTAAAATTAAGGAGTCGCGTGGAGGAAGTAAAATGATACAGATAACGACTATGTTCGTTTTATTGAGTATAATACTGTCAACCTTGATGAATCATTAGGCTTGTTTTGGAGGCAAGCCTAAGAAAAAAGCTTTGGTGGCAGACGTCCAAAATCAAACCGAAAAAAGAGACAGTTTGTGCTAAGAAACGAAAAGTACTGAATGAGCTGACACCATAGCAGAAAAAGCGCGGAGCAATATATCTACAGTAAAAGCAGGAGCAGGTTTTGAGCGACGTGGAAAATGATTATAGAAACACATTTCAGACTAGCTCAAAAACTAATCTGAGGCTACCAAAGTCAGCGAATTTAACCTAAGTCAAAGAAAACAGAAAAGTCAGGAATTTTCCAAATATGAATACCGTGGAATCCCTGTAAAATTAAAGTTCCTAGATAGTTTTGAAAAAAGAAGTTTCATTCAAGATTAGCAATCACAGATAATCTATTATAAATTTAAATGCGGGCTTCACTGTCTGGCCATGTTTAAGCTTTTTCAAGGTGTTATTTTTGCATGTTTAACAAAAGATTTTTTGCACGTTTAAGCCATATTGTATATTGCAATGGTTAAGATTTTCTTCGATTTCCAGATTAAAATTGGAGTTTATTTCACCAAGTTTGAAATTAGCAACCGAATAGTAGAATGCTGCCAGGGTTTCCTCTGATGTTGCGATTCTGGCCGCCATATATGAATAACCAAATCCTTTAAAATAACTAAAGGCAAATTTCGAGATTTTTCAAAAATTCCTCGAAAACTTAATTTAAAAAGTTTCTTTAAGTTTAAAATTTTCAACCAGGTAGTTGGGTGCTGCCAGGGTACTCTTAAATGTTGCGAACGACGTTTTTTATGATTTTTTAAAAGATTTTAGATATAAAAAAAAATCGAAGTTCTCATCTCTAAAGTGATACTCTGTCAGTTGTTTTCAGGAATTGCGATGTTTGCCTCCCAGCAAGACTGCTCAAGTCCTTGTAGTTTTCGAGATGTGACGTTTTTAATGACTTTTTCAAAAATTTTCAAAGAATTTAGATATAAAAAAAATTTTCACAAAATTTGAAGTTACCTTCTCTAAAGTGAGGCTCTGTCAGGGTACTATCAGGAGGTGCAATCTTATCCTCAAAATATGACTGCGCAAAACCTTGTAGTTTTTCAGATATAACGTTTTTTAAATTTTCTCAAATGAAGTTTCTCAAATTTTGAATTTCCTAACGCTGTAGTTGGGTACTGTAAAAGTACTCTCAGGAGTTGCAAATCTTGAGTCCAAATTGCTTTTAGTTTCCAAGATTTGACTTTTCTTAGTCTATTATAAGTTGTTTCAAAGAACTTAATTAAAATTTTGAAAATCATTAAGTTTTCTGAAGTTATACTTAGAAAACTTGAATAAAAAACTTTGAAAGTTATTAAATGACTTTTTCAAAAATTTTCAAAGAATTTAGATATAAAAAAAATTTTCACAAAATTTGAAGTTACCTTCTCTAAAGTGAGGCTCTGTCAGGGTACTATCAGGAGGTGCAATCTTATCCTCAAAATATGACTGCGCAAAACCTTGTAGTTTTTCAGATATAACGTTTTTTAAATTTTCTCAAATGAAGTTTCTCAAATTTTAATTTCCTAACGCTGTAGTTGGGTACTGTAAAAGTACTCTCAGGAGTTGCAAATCTTGAGTCCAAATTGCTTTTAGTTTCCAAGATTTGACTTTTCTTAGTCTATAATAAGTTGTTTCAAAGAACTTAATTAAAATTTTGAAAATCATTAAGTTTTCTGAAGTTATACTTAGAAAACTTGAATAAAAAACTTTGAAAGTTATTAAAGAAACAAATTATATACGCTTTGGAAGTTTGATAAAGCAAATAATATGATGAAATCGAAATTCTTGTATGAACGTAATGAAATTAAAAGGATGGTTCGTCGAGCAGTAAAGAGAAGTACAAAAAATTCAATAATTGCATTGGAGACTAGAGACAAGTGAAATAACATTAAATGAAATAACAGGTAAACGCCTAAAAACTTGTGGAACTCCAAGTGTATTTGTAAATGCAAAACCGATAAGCGCCCCAATTGCATTTGGCAATTTTTTCAATGAGTAATTAGCTAGTGTGCGAACAAGGCTTGTAGGGAAAATCCCTCATGTTATTTCTGTGATACATTTCGATTCTCTACATCATTCTATGTACCTATTTATTAACAGTTCTTTTCATGAAATTTTGAATAATCTCTTCAGCCTTAAACCTAAACAGTCGTCAGGTATTCACGAAATTACTAATAACTTCCTAAAATTATCTTCTGTTCTTATAATTTAAATAAAATTTTCTTCAAACCCAGGAAGTATCCAATTATTTTGAAATTTGCTAATGTTTTACCGCTTCATGAAGAAGAAATCAAATTAAAACCTAATAACTATATCTCTTTTGCTCTTTCAAACAGTTGCGACTAAATTTTCGAAAATGTTATGAAATTTAGGGTATTCAACTGTTTCAAAAGATTCAAATTACTCTTTTGTAAACGATTTGATATCCGGTGGATAATAGGTTATCTGTTTCAAATCAAACTGCTTTAATTAAAACAAAGTTAGGCAGATTTTGTGGAGTTGTCGCAAAGATTAGACTTTTTCTACTTAGACCGGTCATTAGGTTATATATTTTAATTCGAGCTTCTTGTTTCAGAAGATTTTTTAATTGGTTTTTTTAAACGAATCTTTAATAGCGTCTCGGAAAAAAGCTTTCTGTCTCTGAGTTTTTCGTCTATGAACTTTTTATTTTTTGCATGCACTCCTTCAACAATCTTCATGTTAAAAGTTTTTTGAACTAGAAAAGAAAAGCGTTTTTTTATCACAATCGATAAATCGATTTTTAATGGAAGAATTCGTTTTGTTCAAAATATTTAAGGTTTCATAATTTAGTTTAATGTATTGGTGTTCAAGGGTTGCCAATTAGTGGACATTACAAATCTCTTTTGGCTATCCTCTGTAGCGCTTGTCATTTATATTTTGTCGGTGTTGTTACAAAACTTGGAGAAATAAAATCTTTCTTTCACAATTTGGCCGCATATAGCAACTTTTCTAGATCCGTTACCTTTTTTTTTCAAATGATCAGACTGAAAATTTAAAAAATAGTCAGTGAGATATCATTTAATGGACGTCTGATTCCCTAGATTTTGCCGAGGTCTCAAATGTAAATCACTGATGTTAAATTGACAATGAAAATTTTCGTTCAGCTCAATTTCATTTGATAATTGAAGGCAAACTCCGCTCTCGGATAACAAGTTCAAATGGCACAGAAATGCGAATGACTTAAGCTTCGAAAATGGTTTTTAATTTTCGAAATTCCCAGCAGAGGTAAAACAAATTCCTTTTGATCCAATTTTTCCAAATTGGGTTAGTTGTTTGCTAAAGTTGTCAACCATAAGTGGTTCTGGAAATTCAAAGATCTTTAAGGTGATATGTTTTTGTCAGTACTCAACAGTTGAAATTTTGATTGTTCTCCTTTCGTTCATTGGCATCTGCTGTTTGTTGGCTATCAAATCGGTGAAGCGTCTCCTTTATTTTTCAACAGAGTATTGTATGTGTTCCTTTTTAGCGCTGGGTCACTCGCACGTGTATCGCATTCTGCAGTGTAAAGAGATGGAATTGGCACAGACTGTGTCCACCCTGACAGACGGATGGAAGTTCGAACAATTAGTCAACACGGGCACCAACTACAGGTATGTTCTGGAATTTTAACACAAGTTTTTGACAATAGCTTCTTCTATAATAACGTTAAAATTAGCTTTTGTGTCCTGATTATTTCAAAAATTTGCCAGTGATGCTCAAGCTTACGGTTCAAAGATTTTGAAGAATCCATTTGCTGGATTTCAAGTTCAATTCAAGTTAATTTGTTAAGAGGTAGGCAGAATTCACTCTTCAGTTACGAAAGAGGAAATGGCGCGAAAAAAAGTGATCGATTTCCCAGTCGAATAAAAACTTTACCGTAAACAAATTTTATCATTAAAAGTGAGCTAAAAAATGTTCTTAAATGTCAAAGAACTAAAATATCATATATTTTTTTCTTTGGAGTTCGAAAGTTGACGTTTTTTTTTTCAAAATAAACGAGTCAATTTTTTTTCTTTGCGTTCATTGACTCTTTTCCAACTTTTTTTGGCTCTAATTTAACCTGGTTGTTCAAACTGAGGAAAAACAAACCTATCAGCTCTGCATCATTGTTCGAACCTCGTCACGGAAAACAATCCCTTTCAGCCGAGATCTCGATTCTATAAATGTTCTTAAAAAAAGTTTTTTCGATTTTCACATCAATATTCACTGAAATTAACGACACCCATGTAGTTTTAATTTTAGCTATACTTATTTCGAATTCTTGCAGTTTTTTCTGCGTTATTCAATCCTATTCGCCTTTTCCTAAAAATACTCTACAGGATATTAAGAACAAATTGTTTTTTTTCTATTTTGGAAAAAATTGTGTTTTTAAGAGTAATGAACACAGTGAAGACTCTTATATAGGTCTTGCTGATTTTTTTGTTTTTTTTTCAGGAAAAAGTCTTAAAATATTGATGCACTTTTTGAGTTCAATTGAAGTTCATCTGCTGAAAGTGACGTAAATAGCAGTCGCCAAATACGAACGTGGAAATGGAGCGAAAAAAGGTGAAAGATTTCTAGTTTCGAAAGTGGAATTTATTTTTAAGATTTCCCAGCGGAATACAAATTTTACCTATTGACCCAGTTTTCTCAAGTTGGTTTCATGTTTTTAAAAAAGCGCCAGTCATAAATTGTTCTTGAAATTTTAAGAGCTTAAAGGGCATCTATTTTTTCTTTGAAGTTCGAAAGTTGAGATATTTTCAAGAAAGTCAGTGTTTTTTATGTTTACTTGCGTTCATTACTCTTTTCCAATCTTCGATTGATTATGTTTACAGTTGTTAAAGCAAGTGTATTGCAACCGGCTACTCTACTTTTTTCCGATAAGAATATTATATACAGATTTCAGCACTTGATACACGTGCGCTAACTTTTGTGCAGTAAACCGGTCGTGTTTTCGTTCACAATCAATTGATAGCAATGAGATCATTGATTGGGTTCACGGCAATATATAAGCTGTAAAATGACAATTTATAAGCAGTATAAGCGATAGTTCATATGCCAATAGAAAAGGAGTAAAACATTTTAAAAGACTTTTCGTTTTGGGTTTTTTGACCTTGCAATTTTGGTGTTTAATTTTTGACGGCTAAATTTTTCTTTTGTTTCTAAGGCCACTTGTTCGATTTATAGAGAGGTGCACGCTAATATTCTAATTTAAACTTAATCGAACATATTGTTATCGGCTTTATTGCTAGCCGTTTTTCAGTCTAAACTAGACTGTTGTTATTTAAGTTGGCAAACCTTTTGTTGCGAGTTGGTTTTTGTGTAGCTTAAACATTATAAATAGATTTGTGATCATTTTCGAAGTTTTATTCTGAAGACGCAAAATGCTATTTTTAGTTCACTCTGCCCTTTCTACTGTTTTTTCAAGCTCATTGATTCTCAGTTGATGATTTATTGCTGTTGTTTTTCTACAAGCGAGCGTAGTGAGCTAGTGTGAGTCTCCTTTTTTCCATCCTAAATCGCAAATAAAAGTGCTCAATCGGTGGCACTTTTGCTATAATCATTATCTCTAGCTTTGAAATTTTCAAACCATCTATTCACGGCATATCATTGAAAATTTATTAGCATCTACAGCTGCGTCGTTATTGGTTAGGGTTAGTAAAATTTCAATTGCCCCTGGCGCAGATGCCAGAAAGTGTGACTCCAATTCTCGAGGTTGGAGGTTCAAATACGACACAAAGCAAAAGTTCACTATTTCGAGGCTTGTTTATACTTTTCTTAATTTCTGTTTTAAGGTGCTTTTTATTGTTTTCTCGCTTGTATTTGCGAAGCGCATTGTTCCTCTTAAAGTTGATTGAGAAAATCAAAGACTAGTAAACAGTGTCTGTGGATATTGAAAACATCCATTTTTATATAGTCCATCCATTTTTTTTATTTAACAAGTTTGAAGCAGTTGATTTTGCGCATTAAGCGCAGAGATGTAAATTTTCTGCTTGAACTGACTGTCATTAATATGCCGCTGATCGAGTTTCAAGTAATTTTGCAGAGTTTTTTTTGTTTTTGATGGCTTTTTGAACGATTTTTCAAGTTGATCTATTCTGAATATGATTTTCTCCGTCACGAAAGTGCAATCCTTAGGACCTTGTTTATAAAATTTTCAGGAGTCGACGAACGAGTGATGATTCTTATATAGGTTTTGGTGATTTTTTGAGCTTTTTTCAGGAAAAAGTCTTAAAATACTCAAGTTACTAGAGACTTGCATTCATACATATTATTGCATTCATGAATGCACTTAGGTATTATGCATTTTTTGAGTTTAATTCATCTGCTGAAATTTTATTTAAATTGCACTCTCCAAATAGTTAATTTATTTTTGTTTGATAGACAAAAAAGGTCGTTTTTACTATGTTAAATTCCAACTTTTTATTTAAAAACAATTTTTAAACGGTTTGCAATTTTTTTTGGAGAATATACCCTTTCTAAAGTTTGTTGGGCTATGTAAGGGGCTTACTTTGATATAATTAAGTCTGATCGACTGGGTATTTTTGGCGTAATTTTTGATAAACTAAGAAATTTTATCGAGCTTTTTTCTAGTGTGACCAAAATTAGCTCTCCCAACTTTATAGACCCTATTTTGAGCCGCATGCAAATTTTTGGGAAAAAAAACAAGCTAAAAAAATTGCTTTATTTCGGCGCGCCCTTCCCCTCATTTTTAGTATATATTGGCGCCTTTAGAAAAAGTTTAGAGCTCGCCAGCCAAAATTGGATATCTGAAAATAGTACAAAAGGGGGGACCTAATTGATCAACATTTGAACTCAATTGAAAATATATTCTTAAGGTAAATAGGAACTGGTGGTAAAAATGGTGAGGCCTTAATATTGAATGGTGGACAGTCAATGAGCAGAATGGTCTAACAGCGGAAAAATAGACAAATTTTGAAATATACTGGTTAATTGACAAAATCAAGTATTAGAATCGTCAACATTTACCAATGAAATGAATAATTCATACATTAATAGAGCATTTTCATCAAATTATTTCAATTGAATTTGTGAAAATCGTGATCACATTACTCGCGATAACAATATCGTGATCACATTTGTTTTACGTGATCACATTTTTTTTCAAATGTGATCTCGATAACAATATCGTGATCACATTTGAAAATCGTGATCACATTTGTTTTACTCTGTTTATGCAAAATCTATTCGTTTCTTTGGCAATAGTGACAATTCCAATAATTGTTTTACAGATTGGCCTATAAAAATCAATGTTTGTTTGTTTTTCTGGTCTTGGACCCATTCTGCTTTTAGACCATTCTGCTTATTGCTCTTTTTCTCTTTTTGAATAGTGGGTTTATTTGTTAGAATTGCCATCAAAATCAGCAAGTTGCTTATCAATCCAGCGTTCTGAAATTGGGTTAGATATGTCGAAAAATTGTCTATCATTAGAGGTTCTTGAAGTTGAAATTTCTACGAGTTTGTATACTCTGTTCTATGATAGTCTGTTCAAAAACATCGAAGCAGTGGCCTTTTTTAGCAAAATATTTGGTGCTTGTTAAGCGCTTTTCCGACTGTCGGTTGGATATTGTTATGGCGAGTACTGGTTTAAAGCATGTTGGGATTGCTTTTGTCATGGCTATGAAGTATTTTTGGGATGTTGTTTGTTCAGATATGGAGAGGAAGACCAGACGGAGTTTCTGTGTGTGGTGTCGAAGAGAAAACAGGGCCAGAAGAGTGAAGATATCATGTTGGACCAGCAGGCGCAGAACTGGCAGAACAGACAGAATAACCTGGGCAGGGGGGGCACACATCACCAGTACCACCACAACCATCACAACCACAACAACCGCACCTGATTACTACAACACACAGTCCCCACTTATTCTTCTGCTTGTCTAGTTAAAAGAGTTACAAACGAGCACATACTTCTTATGATGACATCTAAATACTAAACAAGATCATTCGCTGATGGCACCCAAATCTGAAATACACATCGTCCATCCCCCTACTCCAAGGGGCTAAAAAGCGGGAATTATAAGAACTGTCCTTTTCCCTAATAGCAAATACACCCTGGTCAAGACTAGTAGAACTCCTAGAAATTCGGAATTTACCACGCTTCGAACTGAAGTTGAGAACAGTATGATGCTTGGATCTGTTAATCTTCTGGTTGCTGTTCTTTTAAATATTTAAAGATTGGTAACAATCACAAACGGTTTGAACACGCAAGAACAAAATCAAACCCCAATTTTCCACTTGGAATTATTTTGCTAGAAATTGTGATATTTCTGGTGCTCTACTCATGTAATATAGGAATTATGTGTTGAAAAGATATTTTAGTTTAAAAAGTCGGGTAATGTTTGCCGAGATTTTGCTATTTCTATTTGGAAAAAGTTAATTAATGTAAATACTTTTAAATGACGTTGTTAACATCTTAACATCTAATTTGTATGGTAATAAAGAGTTAACAGCTCTAATGGAATGCGTTTGGGTACAAATGTGCTCATCTCATTTCCCTGTAAACCATTATTTTTAATTTAAATATCCAATTTTGGGGACTCAATCAGCTGTCAGTCATACTGTACAGAATACAGAGTCATCTATTTACACTATCGAGTTTAAGTGAGCGTAGTGTAATAGTACGACTATTTTTTTCTACCTAAGTCGCAAATGTTGGAGCCACAGCTTTTTGATAGCATATGCTTTGACATTTGATTAGTAATAATTTAACACAGTTTATGCATGTTTAAATCATCAATTGAACCGAAAAAAGTTTCAGTGAAATTTTGTTTCAAACAGCATAACAATGATAAAACTCGATTTCAGAACTTTTCTAACTCAATATATCTGACAATTTGAAATGCATAATTTGTACTTAATGTGGCTTTCCAATTTCTTACATGCAAAGTTGTGGCTTATTTCTTTTTTTTTGCATATCTTTTTATAAACTGCTTATTTGCCGTGTTCTTGCTAGTGTTGCGAAGTGCAGCTTCGCCTCTGTGTTCAGTTATTTGACTCAAACACAGTTATTTGACTCGTCCACCATTCAAACACATTTATATTATGTGAGAAACTGGTTTTTTAGGTTAATTGTTAAGAGCAAATGTGTTTGAAATTAGTTTGATGTGGCGATAGAACATTTTGGTTGAAAAATGATTGTACGGAGGAAAAGGTGAAGTTGCCCTATGTTCCGAGAAGTTCAGTTGATATAGCATAAAAAGTGCATCACTCGTTGCTGTTCGAAGTAATAAAATAGACAATCTTCTTTTCTGTTTAAGTCTTGCTGTGCGCTATATTTTGATCATCATCTTCCAGTGCTTTGTGTAGTTTAATCAAGAGTTCCCCCTCCTTATTAGACTTAGTTATTTTGTACATGATCCATTGCTAATTCTCAAACTTTTATCCCTCAATTGTCAGAAAACAGGTAATTGAATTAAGGTATTGTTATACGGCGCCTAAATAGTCTATTTATTAATCTTGCTGTCAGAATGAATAATTATTGCTTCGAATTTTTCTCTTCCTTTTGACTTGCAAAATAAATTATCCTCTTCGAAGTTTTTGTGAAAGATCAAATGAAATCGGCCTTCGTTCATATTTAAGGTTCAAGTTTTGAGTTATGACGAAACATTTAATGTAGGTCGGACGCTGATGTTATAGCTACTTGAATTTAATCTGCATACAAAATCGATATAAAGGAAAAATAGTTTTCTTTTGAAGTTGACAAAATCAAAAAAATAATAATAATAATAATATAAGCCAACAAGCTACTTTTTTGTGGAAATTTTTGAGTCCTATTTTTTCGAGTTCTCCCAAAACCAGTTAGACAACGTTTGCCGAAAATTTTAGCTCTGTACACACGTTTTCGGTAAGAAGTGACGAAAAAGCTCCCCTCTCAAATCTGCCGTATATTGGCGCCTTACGTGCCAAAAAAAAATTAGCGGTGTGTCAGCTTAAAATTTGGATGGTGAAGGAGTCGAAATCGCGAAAGAAAAAGCGTCCCTCACTTAACCTTCCTCGCCTCTCTAAATTTGATACTGATGACACGTAATTATAGGTGACATTCGTAACTGATTCTTCTGTTTCTAAATACCGTTCTTAGAAGTGATTGACCTTGTTTATCGTTTCAGATATTGTTTGTTTGAGACCCCAATAACAACTATAAGGTATTGAGCGAGATTACGACTGTAGAGAATGGTGTTCCGAGAAGATATGCAGATGGCGGTTGATTCTCCCCCCGGTGGGGGTCAAGAGGAGGAGATTGATCACGAGCAGTTCACTCTGTTGCTGGAGTGGATTGACGAGATGCCTCTCACGAGGGTGAAAAGAAATCTAAACAGGGACTTCTCTGACGCAGGTTCAAACTAGTAATAGTTATCATACTAATAAATTATTTTCCAACCTATAGAACATTATGCATCGGCCGATATAACATAGATCAATTGGACTTGGTTCGAACTTCGTGTGTACATCGATAAGTTTAACTCAAACCTATCAAGCGATGCCACAGTAGTAGTACTAATAAACTACTACTGCAACATTACCGCATACTTAAATATTGATGGGATTTTACTTTTCATAATGGAAGTGAAATAAATATGTATGACCTACGTGGGTGGCCAGTCAATGAGCAGAATGGTCTAAGAGCAGAAAAACAGCCATATCTTGACTCATACGGGCTAATCGATGAAAAATTATTAGAAATGTAAATACAGTGCTGATTTAAATTAACCGGACAAAACGCGTTAAACTTGAAATTTAAAACGCATTTTGTTCAAATTGGGTTGAGTTTAGGTGACAATTTATGAAGACAAAACTTGCTTAGAATTTTAGCAGAATTAATATGGTGTATATTGTTTTGCGAAATTCGGGTCCAAAATTTTACCCCAAAAATGGGTCATTTTGGCTTTTCTTAGTTAATCAAAAATTAAGCCGAAAATAACCAGTCGATCACAGACATAATTATATCAAAGTGAGCCCCTTACGTAGCTCAACAAACTTTAAGAAGGGTATAATCTCCAAAATATTGTATAAATTAATTTATTTTTGTTTGATTTTTGAAAAGGTCATTTTTACTATATAAAATACCAACTTTTTATTCAAAAACAATTTTTAAACAATATGCATTTTTTTTTGGAGAAAATACCCTTCCCTTCTTAAAGTTTGTTGAGCTACGTAAGGGGCTCACTTTGATATAATTATGTCTGTGATCGACTGGGTATTTTTGGCGTAATTTTTGATTAACTAAGAAAAGCCAAAATGACCCATTTTTGGGGTAAAATTTCGGACCCGAGTTTCGCAAAACAAATTACACCATTTTAATTCTGCTAAATTTCTAAGCAAGTTTTGTCTTCATAAGTTTTCACCTAAACTCAACCCAATTTGAGAAAAACGCGTTTTAAATTTCAAGTTTAACGCGTTTTGTCCGGTTAATTTGAATCAGCACTGTACTACTAACAAAATGAATAACTTGTACATAAATTGAGTAATTTTATCAAGTTTCTTTAAATTGAATTTTAAGAAAATCTGTATACAATTATTCAATTTATGCATAATTTATTCGTACTTTTGTTAATATTGACAATTTTTATACTTGTTTTGCCGATTTGGTTATAAACATTGGTATTTTTTTTATTTTCCTGCTCTTAGACCATTGTTAACATGAAAAAACTGATCTATTACAGAATGACGGTATATCCACGAGGGAAAGGACCGACAAACGAGCTGTTCTGCAATTAACGGAAAACCGCCACTGTGTCCTTGCAATTTTTTTCCAGGTGTCTGGATATGAAAGAACGAATTTACTTTTTTTGATAAGAGATACAAAGTTTATCAAATTTATTAATATATATGTGCTGGAGCAGTCTTGACTTGTGTTGTAGTATTGGTGGCAGAAGTGATCCACCATCAGCTGGCGGAGAGCAAAGTGGCCCAGTTGGTGGAGAAGCACAACTACCAGAGTGCTAATTCCTCCGAGAACAAAAAGGCCAACTGGGAGCTCCTCAGACAGTGAGTAGATTACATCAGATTAGACCACGTGTAGAGTGCCAACTACTATTGCATCACATGGTTTCGTCTCGCTTTTTCGTCTCTTGACTACAATAGAGTAAAGTACAGTGCTGATTCAAATTAACCTCACAAAACGAACAAATTTTGAAATTTCAAATGTGTTTTTCTCAAATTGGGTTAGGTTTAGACAAAAAGTGAAGAGAACACAAATTGCTTAGAGTTTCACCTGAATTAATTTATTTCAGAAGAATTAATTTAGAATTTCACCAGAATTGCTATTTATTTTTCCACAAAAATGGGTCATTTTGACTTTTTTATTAAATCAAGAATTACGTTGAAACTACCGAGTTAATTAACGAAAAACATTTATCCAAAGAAGTCTCTTACACAGTGCAACAAAACTTAAGAATGGTAATATTTTCAAAAATTTGCGGAAAATGTTTGAAATTTGTTTCTAAACTAGAATTTTGATTTTTAAATAGTAGAAATGACAATTTTTGGCTATCAACTAAAAATATATTCTTTTATACAGATTTTTGGAGATTTTCCCCTAGCACAACTTTGTCGGGCTGTGTATGAGGCTTTTTTTGTTTCACTAGCGTCAGCTTAGTGTATTATTAAAAACCTTTTTTTTTTCTAACCTAAGTCGCAAATATTTTTTTTTAGATCAGTATATCTCGCATTTTTTAAATGCATAGTTTATACATAAGGTGGATTTATGCTTTGCAATTTGTTACAAGCAATGTTAGCGTGGATGCCTTCAGTTTGTTGTATTCCAAATTATTTCTTGCAAAGTTGTGTCTATTTGTATTTGGTGCCTTTTTGGCTGAATGGCATTGGCAATTTAGTAGTATATGTAGCTGCTTTGCTCGTGGCTAGTGATTGTCGAACAATATCTTGATTGCAGTAGGTTGCAGATTGAATCCTTGACCTTGCTGAGTTTTTACTAATTCGAGGCTGATTTAATCTTTTTTCTTGTTGCCTTTTCTAGAGCTGCTTTTTGTCGTGTTCTCGCAAGTGTTTGCGCAGCGAAGCTTCGCCTCTATGTTTAATTTTCTTATCAATTAACTCAGTAGTCTCAGCGTATTTCTTGATTAGATAAAACAGTCAAAATGATCTATTTTTGGGGAAGATTTTGGCTGCGAATTTCGAAAAATCAATTGCACTATATAAATACTCGTGAATTTCCTAGCAAATTTTGTTCTCACTTTTTGTCTTATTTGAGAAAAAGTTTGAGAAAAAAGCCCCTGATGTTTCAAATTTTGTTCTTTGTGTCCTGTTAATCAGCACTTTACCTCTCTTTTGTCTCAATCATAATTCATCGCTCCATTGAATCGCATATCTAAGATTTTCGCGAATAAGAAAATTTTATTCTCACGAGAGTCAGGGTATTGCAAACGGATATACAATTTTCCCCCGTGAACAGCTTTGATCATGGCTCATCTGTAAAACTTTGCTGGAAGATTACTGCAGCAGACATTTTTGAGCGTGCTCTATTTTCAATTCTCGTTCTATTTACACAAGTGGAGTGTAGTTTGATACTTCAAGGACACTTTTCTCCAACCTAAGTTGCTAATATTAGTTTTATGGTAGGAAATTTTTTTTTCACGTAGCACTTTTGCAGCAGGCGTCATTGGCAATTTAGTGGCATGTGCTTTGCCATTCGACTAGTAATAAGTTAACACAGTTGATGTATTGTCAGGTGGCAGTAATCGATCAGATGTAACCGAAACGTTTTTTAAACTCAATGTTTCGCAACATTTTTGAAATGCAGAATTTAGACACAATTTGGCTTTTACTTTCAAATTAGTGTGATTGACATTAGTTTATTACGTTCCAAACATTCCATCCTAAGTTTTTGTGCATTTCAAAGCAGTTTTGCTTGTGTTTGCGAAGTTGAAACTTCGCCTCTATGTCGAAATTTGTGAATGTGTTGGTTGTTGTAAATTAACTAATCTTTTAATATTTTCCTTGGCTTTTAATTTTTCTTCGCTTAGTGTTTGTTCTGCTCCAATTTTTAATAAATTGATTCAAGTGTATGAAATTTGTGATATATCTTTTTTTGATTTTTTTTTCAAAAAGTGTTTTTTGGCTTAGTGGCTTTCGTCTGTTTTTGTCAGCTTGTGCCTTACTATGTTTGTGATGTATTGCAAGTCGTGCGAAGCTCCGCTTCACCTCTGTGGCGAAAAGCGAAGCAAAATTTTCAACACAGGTATGCATGCGTTGAAGTTTGGGGGTATGTACGCCTAAATTTGATGTCACAAAATAATGAAATTTTGGTGGAAAAAAGCGAAATCAGGGGTAGTTAGTAGTGGCAAATTATAATTGATTTGTGTGCCCTCCGTTAAAAAGTTTGAGGAATTTCAGCTATTTTTTAGCTATTCGTTTAATCGCTTTAGACTGCATCGTTTGCTGGGCGATAATAGTTGCGATATTAGTGTGCTGTGGGTACGTGAAGCATGATAACTTAGCATGGTATTTCGAAATTTTTCGGGGCTCAAAACTTGTTTTAAAAAATTGTTTTTCAACTCAAAAGCTCAAAAGGGGTCTACCCTGTTAATAAATTTTGTCACAATGTTAATTCAACTCGTGTTGAAATTTGGGGGCATGCACGCCTAAAATTTATATCATAAATTAATGAAAATTGGATACATTTCAGTGGAAAAAGCGAAATCAGGGGATGTTAAGATTCGTTAACTATGATTGATTACTGTTTCCTTGAAAATTTTGACTGTATCGACTTAGAGAGCATCCATATTACGTTAAAATCTTTTATTCGCAATCATTTCTTAATTTTTGTCTGTTTGCAGCAAAGTGCTGCGGAAGCTGCCGATGCCTCCGCCGGGACTAACAGACAGGGATATTCAAGACTTCATCAGTGCGAAGGAGAATGCAATTGAGAGGTTTCTGCTCAAACTCAGACCAGCACTCGACCAGTACATCAAACGACGCAAGACTGAACAGGTACTTTTATTAGGCAATATTATATCTTGAAGCAGTTTATTTTTCAAGGCCAATTTACCATGTAGACTGCAAATGAGTTCATTTCCCGCACCCTTGTTATCAAAAAATACTACCAAGAATTTGTCACCAATTATAGATAGAATGGGTTCAATTGGTTCATTTTTGTTGTTTCAGGCCGGAGGAAAAGATACTTCACGTAAGTTAGAAACCCAATGCTCTCTTCGTTGAAATTTGGTATAGTAATTTACAATTTGAACTTTAAACATTTTATTCTGTTTAGTACTGTGTTAATTGTTTTAAATTATCTGCGAATTATAGTTTTGAAATTTTGGCTTTCTGACTTGTTAAAATCTTTCATTTATTTATTTAAAGCCGAAATTGGGCTAACTTTAAAACAAAAAGTGGCTAATTGGTTTCTTATTTAAGTTTCAAAATTGTGCTATAATGTTCCAGGTGAACTGCTGATCCCCCCTCTATTTCAGATTACCCCACGCCCGGTTATCCCAGGGCATACTCTAAGAGAGAAACACACATGATTGCTCATGGTAAATCTAATTGGTGTGCAAATCAGTCTGTCATTTTGATTCTTACACACTAAATTTATTGGCTTCGTATTTGTACAATATACATTCTTGCTTACTAACCAAAAAGCATCAGTTGGTTGTGATTAAGAGTCAATCATTTTTTTTGTTTTTTTTTTCAGGAAAAGTATTAAAATTTGTTCAGGATCAAATTTACTTTTTGGTGGTTTGAATTTTGATTTCTTAAGTTCAGTTTTTTCTTTTGTGAAAAAAAAGGAAAAATCCACTATCGAGCAGCAAAAGTGTAAAGGTCATGAAAAAGGTGATCGACTTCTAGTTTCGAAAGTGGAATTTAAATTTCAGATTTCCCAGAGAAATAAAAACTTTACTTATTCATTCAGTTTTCTTAAATTGGGTTAATTTTATCAAAATTTGCTAGTCATACAAAGAGTTTTAAGGGCATCTAATTTCATCTTTGAAATTCAAACTAAGATTTTTTTTCCAAAAACCAATCAGTATTACTTTTCTGTTTACTTGCGTTCATTGACTCTTTCCCAATTGTCAGTTGGGCGAGGTCTCAGTATGTATATCAAATTAATAATTGCCTTGTATCAGGCAAAAAGATTGATTTGAGCTGCAAGTTGCACGTGATGTTGTGTTTGTTTAAGCAAAAAGTGTTGTCTATAAACTGCTTCAACTGACTGATAATTGCTGCAATGAAAGGCAATATGAAGAACTTTGACAAAACGGGCAATTTTGCCGAGCAAAGTTTTTTAGGTGTTCGCATTCGTACTGTGTTTCATTACTCATGATTTTTATACCGATTTTCAAAAAAGTCATGGAATATTAAAATAGTGCTCGGGGTCTTTTTTTTCTCTATGCAAATTCCGACTTTTTAACTAGCCATTTTCAATATTTGTTTCTACCATCAAAAAGGTATTAACGCCCTGAGCTCATTTTCAAAAAAAAATTTTCTAGTGATTGTTTCGTAAAGTTACGGGGATTTGAAAATTACTATTTGTCCGATCTGGGATATTTTAGATGTATTATGTACTATTAAAACGTAAGCAGCGATTTAATGAATCATTCCTAATTGAATTGAGACAAGCATGTAGGTATTCACCAGACGCAAAATCTATTACTTTATATTTACATAGCGTGTGAGGTTAATATAATTTTTTATATTGAGTTCAATCCTCAATATTATGTTTATTCGTTTTTTTTAACTAACGTTTCATTTTATTTTAAATTTGAAGTTCTTCTCGACATTTAGAGCATTAGAGCTTTGCCGTGATACGAGCAATGTTGTTAATAATCGTGGAGGACAGAAAGGAAATACGCACTAAACTCATTCTAAATTGTTTTGCCTGCGACGCTTGCACTGATCCTTGTCTCTGGTTTTTAAAAGATGTTGAGTTAGTTCTTAATCCGACTCGAAGTTGTTTGTTGCAGGAGGAGGATCCAATTCAATTGGAGGAAAATCGAAAGCACAGCCCGGGTAAGAAACAAATTTTACTTGAGGCCTTAACCATTTATTATTAATACCAAATTGTTGGCGATGCCATTTTCAGTCGAATCTGAACTAAATTAATTAATCGCGTTTGCTCGTTTTTCGGTCATTTCAGCATGCAAAATGTTCCAACAGATCTAGTTGGTGTTTAAGTTACAGTTTTTTGACTGATTAAGTGTCAATGATCGAAAAAGTACATTTATATAAGTCGTGTTGGTTTTAAGTTTTTTGAGGAAAAATCAGTTGTTCATTTCCTTTCTTAAAAGAAAGGCAAACTCCACTATAGTTCAGCTAAAGTGTAGGCAAACTCCTCTATAGTTCAGCTAAAGTGTAAAGGTTGCGAAAACGTGAATGACTTTGAGTTTTAGAAGACTTCCCAGCGGAATAAAAATACTATATATTGGTCCATTTTCTGATATTGGGTTATTTTAATCCACAAAATGTCCATCTTGAAAGATTAATGAGTTTCAAAGAGCTTTAAAAGTTATGTTTTTTCTTTGCAACTCAAAATTTTACAATTTTTCAAAAAAAAGTTATTTATTAAGAGTACTGAACGTGTTGAATACTTTTATCAAGGTGATTTTTTTTGTGTTTTGTTCACGCTCAATTTTGATTTTTCGCGGTTGACCTTTGATTTCTTTTTAAGTTCGCCCCATTTACTTTGTTTAAAGGCAGGCAATTTTCACTATCGAACAGCAAAATGTAAAGATCACGAAAAACGTGATCGACTTCTAATTTCGAAAATGGATTTAATTATCAGATTACCCAGCGAAATAAAAGATTTACATTTTGATCCAATTTCTCAAAGTGGGTTAGTTTTATTAAAAAAAAGGGTAAAAAATAAATAATTCTGTGAAACTTAGTGGCATATATTTGTTCTTTCAAGTTCTCAAGTTGAGGTTTTTCAAAAAACAAGTCCGTTTTTTCAAAAAAATAACAACTCCGTTTTTTCCTGTTTCCTTGTGTTCATCACTGTCAACCGGTCATATTTTTTTCTGTCCTAATGAGTTATTTGGCACTTTTGCAACTATCTGTTCCTGTTGTATGTTTAGTTGCTCACCAATGTTACAACAATTTGGCATTATCGAAACTTTATCCATACTTAGAGAAGGCAAAATTCACAAATTGTGTCTATGAGGGAGCTGTGTGCATGCAAAACGTGGCATTTTTGTGCCTAAATCGTCAAAACCGAGTTACATAAAACCAAAACGGCAGTTACCTAAAAACTCTAAAAAACGACGCAGTTTTTTTGGGGGAACTTGTGGCTGTTTTAATGTCTCGGGATAGCTTGGAATGGCTGACCCTGCAAACTATTTGTTAGTTTTTTTCAGTAGTTTACCAATGCTGATTTTTTCACATGATTTTGCTTCATTGCGTAGACATTAAGTTTTTGATTAGAATCATGGATAGTTTTTTTCAGTACTCTTTAAATATGCGTTTATTTGTTAACATTTGTCTGTGTCTGTAGGAATTATGACGCCTTGCCTGCTTGGGCTAAGATGGAAATGTCTGACAGGGAACAGAAATTGGGGGCGGCTGAGGAGACCATTCAGGTAAGCTCGCCCTTTACCTCTTTTCACCCTAATTTGAACATTTACTTTGGCTTATTTCGTGTTATCGTGTCGCCTTCAGTTAAAAGATTTTTTGTTTAGTTTTAGCTAATTGTATTGCTTTATTCTGCTAAGCAGGTGGCCTTTTTATGTTTTACTTTACGAATTGATGTACACTTATTTAGCTCTTGTGGTTTTTCTTTCGTTTTTTTTGGAAAGTCTTCAAAATTGTTAACCCTGAACTTAATTTTTTTTCATTTGACTGTTAATTTTTTTCAAATTCTCTTCATATTCACTTGCTAAGAGGATTAAAAATACGCTCTTAACTAGGCAATTTGTCTTATAAATGCTTAAAATGGACTTTAATTTTAAAAATGGTTTTAAAATGAACGGTAATTTTCAGACTTACCAGCGGTTAATAAATCTTTGACCAAGTTATCTCTATTTAGGTTAGCTGAATTAAAAAAGTGTCAATCATGAAATATTTTTGGAATTCAAAGTCAAGGGGGATGTAGAATTTTCTCGTGGGGGGCGGATTTTCAAATAAAAAATTGATATTCTGAGCTCTCCCAAATAACCATAAAGACCCTATTTGAACAAACTTTTCTCCGACGCAGGCAAATTTTTGAAAAAATACAGGTCAAAAAGGCGTTACTTGTCAAAAAACTTCAAAAGTTGCGTGTTTTCGGCGCGCGCTCCCCCCTCGATGTAAGTATATATTGGCGCCCAAGGCGCCTTTAGAAAAATTTTAGGGTCAGTCAGCCAAAAATGAAATATCAAAATAGTACATAGGGGATCCTTTGGGTCGGCAGGGGGCCGAATCCCCCCAAAATCTGCCCCTGTTCAAAGAGTTTCAACCTGGTGTATATCTTCAAGGGTTTTCTTCCTTGTTTTTCAATCATTTCCTTGTTTTTATTTTTCATTTTTTTTTCTTAAAAAAAATAATAACAAACAAATGATTATTTTTTCACTTTTCTGGAGTTCATCGATACTCCAACTGTATGTTAGCTATGTTCGTTTTTTCCGCTCAAAACTGATTTTTATAATTTTACCGGGATACTAATTTTCAGTAACATCAAATCAGCAATTTCATTAGTTATATCAGTATTAGTCGCTATTTGAAAGTTATCAACGTTTTTGAAATATATTTCTTTTTTCGGCTCGTTGACATTTCTTAAAAGTTGATCGACTATTATCAATGTGCTGGGTTGAAAGATTCGTGATGATAAGTCAGTTGAAAGGTTTTGCAAATTATCAAAATTCAAAATGTTTTAATTCACCTTTTGATTCTGCATGTTTACTTCGAAGGTTTTGGTTCTTTGATAACATGCTGCTGAAAAAAATCTACCCTGCTGAAAATATCAAATCGCAACCATTTTTTTTCCAGATTAACAACTTGTAAAAGAAAAATTTTTGAAGCTTTTGGTTAACTATGTGAGCTCCTCACTAACAGACCTGTCTTCAGTCAAAATATCTTCAGTTCGAAATTTGTTTTTTTTTCTATGTTGGTTGTGAGTTTACCAACTCTGATTTGGTTGTACAGTTCCGTTATGTAGTTTTTTGCTTTAATTGTTATAAAGGGTTACAGCTTATTTTTCTAAGCCTAGTCTTTCGTGGTGAACAAAGTTTGTGGTGAACAAAGTTTGGGGGTGTGTCTGTCGTGGGGATTTGAAACGTTCAAAATATTTTTCGAACATGCTGGTGTCTGCTCAAGAAATGCAGGCTTACGTATCACTGCGTAACATTAGTTTAGATTCTTGATCCATATTGGCAGTTGTTGTCTTAATTGGCACGTTTTTCTCATTATGAATTTATGCAAATCTAAACTTATTTATGCAAATCTAAACTTAAGTGTTTGGAAATTAAAGTTTTTAAGTCATTTTTTCAAAATTATTTCGGCTTATTTGACTTTGTCTCATTTTCTGTCGACTAACTTGTCATGCAATTTTTGTGTTGTATCCAAAGTGGTGCAAAGTTCTGTTTCGCCTCTATGTCTCTTTCTGCATCGTAAATGATTCTTACAGCAATGTAGGAGTAACTTAAGCTGACTGAGTTTTTGGCTGCTATCTTTTAGATTCTTTCTGCCAAAGTGAAAAAACTGGAGCGACTTGTTTACCTTAAGGACTTAAGACTCAATCAACTAGAAAAGGGAGATGGCGCCAACTAACCGAACGGAGAGAAGTCGAAACCCAAATCATATCAGATTGCACCCAACAGGCAGAAAGCAGTTATTTTCGACCAGATGAAACTATCCAGAGCGCACTACTTAGACTTAGAGTTAAATTGAATACGAGGCATTCGAAGAACTCAGTTTATAAAATAAGTTGCTTAAAGAAGCGGTAATATTAAGCTGATATGCAGCTTAAGCTCACACGAGGTCATGCTTAAATAAGGGCCAGCTAAACCATTTGATGTTTCGCGCTTTAGTTTTTGTTAACATCAAGTCACAGACTTGACTAACTTGAGTGATTTTGTTATCTGATATATATTTTGAGAAAAAAAATTGAATCGGTTGCCGAAATTAATTCAATGCTTGGTTCAATTCAAACGGCCTACAGAGAAGAATCTCTTTTAATGTTTCAACTGATGAATTTTTCAGATAAAATAGCTGTTTTTCTCATAAGGTGATGCTATAATTTCAAATTCAATAATTTAGTGTGTAAGGAGTAGTTGTTCATGATCATTGTAAATAGAAAGTGTAAATCTTGTTCATAGGTTTTGGTTTACTCTATGTATAAATTTAGTTTCTACAATTGTTTGGAATTTCTAATTTAAGGATCCATAAATTGACTTTTTAGGCTGACATGTGAACTTGACTTGACTCGTTTAGTTGTCCTGATTCAGCAACAATTTACAAAACTTAACCAGTTGTTCTGCTAGTTGCATGGGATAACGCGATAACACTACTCGGTAAAGGAAAAGAAAAAGTAAAGATTTGAGATTTTCATAAGTTCACGAACATAGTAAAGACACTAATATAGGTCGTGATGATTTTTTTCTCAAAAAAAAATTCTTGAAAATTGATCACGCTCAAATTTAACTTCTGGTAATTTGACTGCTTCTTAAGTTCTATTCAAATTCTTTTGCTAAAAGGAGGAGAAATAATGCTCTCAAAGTAAGAAAGCGGAAATGGTGTCGATTCTAAAAGATTCTTTTGAAGTATAGAGAGATTCAACGTGATATATGTGTTTCAAAACTTGAGAAAGTCAATCGGTTTTTTGGCTTCCTTGATTTGATTGATACTTTTCCAACTATATTGTGGGTATGTTTTTGATATGAGGATGAATGAAAATCCCCAAGAACACGTTATTGTTAGCTTCTTAGTTAGCGAATATCAATTATGGATTACAATAGGCTCTTTAAGTCTAGGTCAACCTCTGAAACTTTACTTAAAAACGTTGTTAAATTGATATTTAAATCGAAACAGTTTCGCCTCAATACTGCCAGCTTTCTGCTCTTCTGTAATACTATTTCAGGTCATGAGTTTTTTGATCCATCAAGCCTTAAAGCTTACTAAACTTTCCTTCGGCGTCAATGTAATAATTTTGAGGTGAGACTGCGCGCCAAATATAAACAATTTAAGTCGAAATTAATCGAAAATACTCAAAAATTAAAAAAGACGTTTTCTCAAAAAATCTACAGCGGCGCAAAATTTTTTGGCAAAAAAGAATCTCACCATCGAAAAAACAGTAAACCTTTTCCTATTCATATCCTGGTTTTACTACGAAAACTTGAATTACTAATCATGATTACCGAGAAACTCTTATCCGAAGTGGAGGTACTGTTCACTCAGCTATGCTTGATTTTCAGTTTTTAAACCATAGGCGGATCTAGAGTTTTCTCGATTTTCGAAGAGTTGGCCGGCAGTTTATTAAAGATCGAGCATTTTGTTTTTATGAATAACACATTTCAATAGCCTATTTTATCTTAAAACTCTGCGGCAGTCTATTTTTTAGTTTACAAAAAAAGGGTAACTTCCCAAATGGCATAAAATTCGAAACTTTTCCTAAATGGCATAAATTTCAAGTTTTCATTGTAATTTAAATGTTTTCTATCAATTTCTAACTAAAACATTTTGTCAGGAACGAAAGCATGTGAACAAGAATTGGAATTAATTGCTTCCAAACAAATTCAAGCAACAGGTTTGTCGAAAAAAATTGACCACAAGAAGCTTATTAATAACCGCAAGCTTATGCTTCTTGCTTTTGATAAAAAGTTCTACATTTGAATTGACAATTTGACTAATTTTCTCACATTGCTTACGAAAAAATTGTTCTCGATTTTTCCAAAGCAACTGTTGCATGAAATTTATGCCATTTGGGAAATATTTCATTTTTATGCCATTTGAGAATTATGTCATTTGAGACGTAATCCAAAAAAAGCTAGGAAAATGTTTTTTTTTTGGCGCGCGCAATTGACTCAACTCAGCTCAATTCGTTGCCTTTGTCGATCATAAATTGGAGTTGCGAAGTAGCTTTAAAGATCCCTTTTCAAAATATTTAAATTTGCTTTCGCAAATCAAACTCCAAAATTATCAAAAAAACATAATTCTGAAATAAACTAGACTGACTTCTTGCTTGTTTTTTTTTGAATCCAGTTAATAACGCTTGTAATTAGTAAGCGTTATCAAACCAGCACAGTTTTTTTCGAATTAACAATTTAATTCAAAGAATCACTTGTACCTCGATTCATAATTGCTCTTGCGATAAGCAAGAGTGCAAGGGTAGAGCAATCGGAAACTAGACTTTCTTCCTGTAAATAACTTTAACCACAGAATAGTCACATTTATAGGATTGGTAAAATTCAGACATGCTCAATTTCCTGAAAATTCAATCAAAACTACCTTAAGTGCTAGTTTTCTTTGTTCAAAGTGTAAGTGTTTTACATCCCAGTCACAGGTGGGACTCAAAACTGTCGGCTCAAAGATTGTCGGCTTTTCTTCCTCTTTGTAACTTTTGTTCCGTTGCTAAGTCAAAACTCAAATGAAAGCCAGGTTAGTCTAGAACTAATTTTTATCGAAACAATTGAAAATTTAATTACGTTTGCGATTAGCAAGCTTTATCAAATTAAAACATTACTTCTTATTGGGCTTACAATTTGTTTAACAGAATCACCTGTATCTTGGTTCTTAAGAGTTTCAAACTTCTATGCGTTCACTGCCAATTTAACCTGGAGGTAGCAAATATGCCTGAGACGGTACATGTAGGCTCCAACATGACCAGGAGATGTCAATGTGAGATCTGTTTTTTTATTTTAAAAAAATATTCTTATTCAAACAAAAGTATCGGCAAATTATTTTTCTGCTTATATGTCAGCTTAGTTTTCACATCTTGGAATCGTTTTTTTTTTTTGCGGAGTGGATTTTTCTTTAAAATTGCTTTAAGTGTTTGATCTACTCCTACAGTTTGAATTCCTCCTTACATTGATCTCGTATCTCCTTTTTTTCCTAAAAAAATTCCTCGGCTCAAATGTTTTGGCCTATTTTTTATCGGCTTAATGACCTAATTTTGGTTCGTTTCTAAGGAAACACAACTTGAACCCTCCCCGTCTCGCTTTTCATGCGGGTTGTTTGTTAACCAATCGGTTTGTTGATTTTTTATTCATTATGGAAAATTATTTCCAAATTCATTGAAAAATTTTAGTTTTTTCAATAAAACTTTTACTGGTTTTCAAAAAGGGTATCATTTGAAAGACCGCCTGCTCCCCTGTGTGCTTGTATAATCTCCTAAAATAATTTTTTTCTGATTCCCTTTGTCCTCAGCCTTCGAAAAGCTCTTTGGGGGAATATTGGACCCATATTTTTGATTCTTTTTTCGTTTTCCAGAAAAAAAACCTCTTAAATTTGAGTTTTAGTTTCAATAAATAGAACAGTTGTGAAAAGTTCCCTTCATAAGCGGGTACGCTCAAGTTTTTGTAGACATAGAGTTATCGCCCTCGGAATAGTGCATTTTTTAATTTTTGACCCTATTTTCAATTTTTTTGAAAATTCTCGAAAACTACCCTGCCATATTTGAGAATTGGGTTCAATTCAAAGACGGGTTGCGGAAACGCATTTGCTCATGCGACTATTCCCAAGCTTTTCTGACACCTAAAGTTATGGCCCACAGAAAAACTTTGTTTTCCTTGTTTTTGAAATTTCTCCGAAACTACCCTGGCAAATCTGAGATTTTGGGTTCAATCAAAACTACCTGTTGAGTGATTCCTTGCTGAATCAGCGGCTACGCCCTATTTTTCACACAAAGAGCTATGATTCTCGGAAATTTCAAATTTGTGAACAGTTGACCGTTTTTTGGACTTTTCTCGCTGATTATCCTATCAAATCTGATATCAAAGGTTTAATCGAAACCAGGTTGTTGAAAACCTACCTGTATAACTGGTTATGCACAGTTTGTAAAAGAAAAATCATGGCCTTCAAACAAATCGAACTTCAAACAAATCGAAAAACAAATGGCCTTCAAACTTTTGGACTGTATTAGAACACTAACGTGCCATTTCTCATTTTTTGTTCAATCGAGAAAACCGGTTTTGGGAATCTTATTTGCTTAAGCGGCCACAGCCTTCTCTTTGCAGGAAGAATTGATGGATTTTGGAAGTCCTTTTGATCGTTTTTTTAGAACTTAAGAAAAATCAAAAATTTTCTAAAAAACCGTCATAAGTTCTAAAAAACGAATATATTTGACTTTTCTTAACATTTGCGCATTCAAATCTGAGAAGCAAAGTTCAGCTAAAAAAACCGGTTGCAATAACTGTTCGTGCAGAAACGGCGGTTCCTTAGTTATAAGAGAAATGTAATCTCTGGGAAAAATGATTATCTCATTTTTTTTACTCTTCTCACTTACCTAAACAGAAAAAGAATTTAGGTTTTAGGCAAAGACCAATTTTTGAAATCACATTTTTTGCGGCATCACTATGGCAAATTCATTCAATATCAAACACATACCTCCAGCTTTACCTGGGCCCTTAGTTGTTTTTCATCTAAACATGCAAAAATTTTAGTTCACCTCTTCTTTTTTTTCAACATTAAAAAAAAATTTCGACTTGCGATACAAGAACATGTTTGTATTGTTTTGTTGCATACATGTTTTTGTTGTATCTCAAATGGTGCTTAGCTCCGCTTAGTTTCTGTGTTTATGGTAGAACTAGTTTTTTTTAACGTTTTCCATTTTTTCGACTTATGTCGTTTTTTATGTGTGTGTTGATGGCAAGTGGTGCGAAGCTCCGAGGTAACAAATCTGCTTGGGACAACAAAGGTCCTTAGATTGAATCTGACCAGAACATGTTTTTTGAACAAATTATTCTGTTTCAAATTAAATTGTTGGCCAAATATTGGTCTGCTTATCTGTTGTCGGCTTAGTTGTCACATCTTAGAGTAATTTCTCCTTTGCTGCTTGTTTTTTTGATTTATGTTGCTTCTGTGTTTGATTTACTCCTACAGTTTGTAGTTTAACTTAACTTGACTTCGTAATATCTTCTTTGTTTTTTGGTTTCGCTCAAAAAATTCTTGGACCCAAATTGTTTCGGCCTATGTTTTATCAGCTTATTGATCTAATTTTGTGTCGTTGTAAGTAAAACAAATTTTTAACACCCCCTATTCATTGTTAAAGTTGGTTTTAAATTGATATTTCGGTTTGTTGAAATTTCTTTTTTCTGTTACGGAGTCTTATTTCCAAGTTTTTTGAAACAGTTTCAGTTTTTTCCGAAACTTTTTTTGATTTTCATCAAAATGTATCTATTGAAAGACTGCCTCCTCTCCTATGCGCTTGCGAGTCTCTTTCTATTTGACCCT